TTTAAAAAGAAGGCACTAACAGTGTGTCAGTTCCGCCTCCGGTCCAGCAGGCGGCGGTAAAACTGAATTACACCATTTAGTCGCCGCCTGTAGATAAAAGGGTGAGGAGCTCTGTGTTCCGTCATTTGAGCCTGCAGTCGAGGTGGAGAGTGTTGGTCTGCGTCTGGGTAAATATGCGTTTAATCTTTATATTAGTTAATAAATGTAACGTTGTATTTGTTAATTACTTTGTGTTGAGATGCAACGTGCCGATATTTACCAGCGATGAGGCGTTTATTTCACGGATGGTGGCAGATTGTGTGTGAGTCGTTGTAAACTTGTCACGTGGTTTTCTCGTAACATCACGTCTGTAGAGTTTATTCAGAGTTAATTACACTTCAGTTAGAGTTACACCGCTGCGTTAGTCATACATACAAGTGATATATAAATGAAAACCATGTGGTGGCATGAAGAGGGTCTAAAATGTGACCGAAGATGTAATAATTTTAAGTTTTATCAATAGGCATGTCAATAATGGCTCAATTGTTTTATAATTTTTACTATTTTATTACTTTTTTTTTTTTAAACGCGCCCTTTATTTAAAACGATAAGCAAGGAGTATCCAGAAATTTCCATCAGCTGAACACGTGGTGGGGGTGTTGTACAAATTCTAATCAGGGAAATAGACCTTTGGTATCAGATATGGTGAAACAGCATTAAGCTCAGTTATTTTAGGTATACGATTAATGAATGGGTTACTTACTAAAAATGCATGAAAAATAAATTGATTTTTAAAAAATCCTCCTAACTACAAAAAGTGCAAAAGTACGGATTTAGAGCAAACCTGTATTAAAGGAATAATTTACATGATATAATTAAAAAAAAATGTCTGCCGCAATCAGATTTGAAATCAGTTACTTATTTAAGACTAATAAGAATGAAATGTAGTTTTCATAGCAAAGTTACAAATTGTCAGTGTCAGTAAAATATCCACTTGAATAAAATCAAATAAGAACTCTTTACTTTAAAAGAAAATACATGGTATGCACACACCTACTAAATTGTCATAGGAACTGCTAAATCATAGAAAACATTTTATGCCTAATCTGTATTTATAAATTAAGATCGCAAAGGCTAAAGGTGTCGAGATTTTGGCCCTTTTGTAGATGCACAGATCTGTAGACTTTGGATGAAACGGCAGACTAGTGTAAAAGCTAATGTGTAGTAATTGTACTGATTTAACTCTCTTGA